ATTGTTAGTTCGTAAACTATTATCATGCTTTCTATTATTTCTAAAATATATTGATTATACGGAATATATATGTTCATGTAAATTTATGTAAATAATTTAGTCTTTGATTTAATTGGATGTTAAAGAAATCATATAGAATTATATTTTGATTCTTTAATTGGAAATAAACCAATGAATTTTATCCTCTATTTGATTTTACTAAAAATTAGATTTTTAATATATTTGATAAAAATTAATGTAATATGTGGTTGAAGTAGATAAAAAATGTGAGTCCTGTAAAATGTATGGATGAAAATGAGTTAAGAAAAAATTATATTCTAAAAAATGGTGACCAAATAGGGATAGCAATCAAGCCAAGTGGCTCGTCAGCTCGTAAAAAAGTGGATCATGGGAAGCTCGGGCTCGGGCTGGAGCACGAGCCGAGCGAGCCTGCTCACTAGGCAAGCCGAACCCGCACGGTTTCCCCACGAACGAAAGGCTAGCGGGTTCACGAGCCCACGAGCTCGTGGGCTTGTTAAAAAAGGGGAACAAAAAAATAAAATAAAATAAATTTGAGCTCATGGGCTCGACTTGTGGCTCACAAGCTCATGGGCCGAGCTCCGTTGTCATCCCTACAACCAAACAAGAGCTCATGTATTTCTTGATTCTTAAACTTATAACTAATCGAGTTTGGCCCATTGCCATCCCTAAAACCAAACAAGAGCTCATGTATTTCTCGATTCTTAAACTTATAACCAACTAAACCAATTAATTTGGTTATGAGAAAACATGTTTAACCCTAATAATTAGTCTAAAAAATTGGTTTATCTACTAAATAAGCCCCTATTTGACAACCATTATTTCAAAATTCTTTTATTATACTTATTTTCAATCACATACATTTATATAGTAAAATGTTCTACACATAAAAATTCAAAATTTTTTCTACTTTTTAACCACAAATTCTCCCAAAAAGAAAAAGAAAAAAAAAGTCACTATTCAAAACTCTATTTTATCCAAATAATGGTTTTCCAATGGGGACAAATCATATAAAATAAAGCTAATTGTACAAACAAGGTTTACAATCATACGTCGTAAAAATTCGAGCTTTTAATGTAAAAAATGATTTTAAAATGAATGAATGTGATGTTGTCAAATAGGGTATTATCAATTAATATTGTCAACAATTATTGTTCATAGAACAAGACTCAATTGTATATTCTTTAGTCTTGCATGGCAGGCGGTAAAAAGTAATGGGAATGTTCATTTCTTTCTTTTCAGCCACGTTCTAAATGAAATTGATGTCGTAAGAAATGGCAAAATGAAATAAGGTTGAGTACATTGTAAGCAATTTTGTCAAATCCCTACAAACCTGTCAAAATTTATTGTCTATTGGTTGGGTACCCCGCTATAATTAGTTGACAGATACTCACAATATAGGAGGCAACTTTTTTTAAAAAAAAAAAAAATTATTCACGCGGGTCCCATAGTAATATGAGTATCTGTCAACAAGCATATCAACCATTTTTTTGTACAAATAATTTTTTTTCATTGGTTGGTTATACAGTTTCGGACATTACGTCCCATCATTTGGAAATACAAAATTCTGAATAGTGAATCTTCTAATGCTGGAGTGCTAGATTAGCAATCGCTCTTGCTCACTCAAAACTTATTATTGGCATTTATTCCGTTGAAGGCCATCATTCACTATTGGTCACCTTGGTGACAGCAGCTAAGGGACTAGTGTCTTGATCAATGCGCTATGATTGGACGCTAGTAATATATTTTCAGTGATACGAGAGACTTGGTGGATCCCTATTCCATGTCATGAGACCGTCACTGACGCTATCGTGGATGGAAGGCACCAAGCCCTGGCTCATGATTTAAGATAGCTTGTCCCCAAGATTGGTATTCTACTTGACGATCCAATGAAGGAGCTAAGGTCCTCTTTAAGCCTTTCTCAATTAATTCATTGGGAACTATTGGTTCTTGGACGAATGTGCTACGACTAGGTAAGATGTAATTCCTAGGTTACCGAGCTCGTGTGTACCTTATGGCAAGGAAAGGGGCATGCAGCACATTATTGGTGATTTAAGAGACATGTTGAACCCATAAGCCCTGTAATCAAACCATCACCGATGCTAACGCCGATAGCAGTCACCAAGCCCTTGCTCATAATCAGTGACGGACACCTCATCCTCCAAAAATTGATTCTCTCTACTCTATCTGAACACCTCAATGGAGAATTGAGGTCTTGACTAGGCATTTCTCGACTTTGAAGATCCCTATGGAGAGTCGAAGTTCTATCTATGCCGCCCATCTCAATTAACCCACATGGGGATATTTAAATAAAGCTAAAGAGGAGTTATTTTCTTGGAAAACGATATATGTACCACACCAAGTACTGTACATATTTACAACACACTCACAGGACGTGGAGCTCGCGATTATTTTAATCGCGGACCGCACCCCCTAATGTGAGATGTCTATTATAATTGCTGTCAAAGGGAGTGTACTTGTGGGCTGTAGCATGTTTCCATCTTCTACTTTTACCTTAGCCAAATCTCTTGGGAATGAAAAGATTATCTCCAATTAAGTGCAATTTGAGATTAAAAGAGTATATCCAAGAAACACAAAAACATGTAGGGGAGTTAAGCCAGTAATCCATCGTAAACTTACTCCTTTAACATGTACAGATACTATCTAAGGGAGTGAAAGAGTATATCCTACGCACAAAAACCTGCACAGGAGATAAGCTAAGAACCCATTGAGAGATTACTCCTTTAACATGTATGGAACAAAATACTTGGAGATTGAAAGATCATCACTATTAATGCCTTGGGATTGAAAGAGTATCTAGAGTTGAATTTCTTTGCTCCATTAATAGCTCGGATTGAAATGTATCCGAGATTGAGTTTCTTTGCCTTATAAATTGCCTCAAATTAAAAAATATATATGTATGGAGTCGAATCTCTAGCCAAACTATCAAAGATCGAAAAAATATCTCTAATCAAAATTGCCACAATTATACTAGCACATGATTTCCATTTGATTTATTTTGCATATGATGTCTTGAAAGTCGAAATACTTATGAGTTTATAATAATGATTATTTATTGACGGATACTTTTTGACACAAATGATTCGATATAATCAAAAATCCATACATTTCACTTCGGTCTCCACTCATTATAATATGAAAAAGAGAAAGCAATCATCCGAAACAACAATATAGAATTTTAGCACTAGCAGTAACAAAGCATGAAAATCCTTCATTTCACATAAATATGAAATTCGTACCTGGGAGTCTAACATTATGTGTTACAATAATTATTTTTTCACCTAGGTCCATACCAACCACGGAAGGACCCCATTGGTGCCCATGTGTCAAAAAGTGAATATTTGCACCTTGAACTTCGGAGCATATGGAACAAAAATGCACCTCAGCTACAGATGCCCTCCTTATGAAAGGAATGCAGACCCTCGTTTACTTGACTAATGGTCAATTGAAAATCCCATTCAAACTACGACATTAAAGGTCTTGACTTGGTCTCGTACATGGATGTCATTTAAGTGCGAACACTAACGCAATTAACTCATGATGGACTTCAATGAAATAAAGCCATACATAAACCTAACAAAATTATAGGATAAATTTCACCAAAGCACAAATCTCAACAAAAAATATTGAAAATTGAACATAATCATGACTTTGAACATAATGACGAAGGACGTCAATTCTCCAAAATGACTAAAAAATCCCTAAAATTTGTCTATAAATATGACCAAAGGACACCCCACTAGCCTTGCACTTCTGGTTTGTTTTTTATTTTTTCAAAGGTTCAACACCCATCGCATAAGATTATAAGAGCCATAACGCCCTTTGGGGCATAGTTAAGTGGTGCAAAAGATAGGAGTGAAATTATCTCACGCTTTGCTGGCAGCCGTAGTGTAGTGGTTCGATTCTTGAGACATGGAATTGGACTACTTGTAGGCGCAATATACAGACAGCTTTTGTTCTCTTATCTGTTGGAGCACATCCCGCGATTTACTTCCCTCGCAAAGCTCTAAAAACGGGATGATGGAGATCCTCAAAGTTGGGGTTCGACCTTATAAGAGCCATAAGATAAAGAAACTGTTATCTTTGAGGATAGACAATAATTGCCCTCTTTTCCATTTTGGCTGTCGTATAGATTACTATTTGTTAAAGTTGGCCTTTTTGTGTCTGTCTTTCAAAAGTACTATTTTAGTATTTTTGAAGTTATGTAATGCAATTAGAAATTTAACGTTTTTAACTACTAATTTGAATAGAAATTGGTCAGCAATTTTACACGGTAGTTACAGAATCAGACCTCAATAAAATTTATCTAAAAGTCCGTCAAATTGACCATTGAACATATAAACGTCTAATTTTATATCAATTAATATATGTTCTTATTTCTATTTGTGCCTAGAAATTTGAAATGAACCGATTTTTTAAGAATACTGTTTAATGTACAAATTATGAATGATATAGCAAACCAATGACTTAAGCCACTCAGCCATATTTTCTGGTTGTTGATCGGAATAGAATTTGATGTGTCGAGTTTGGTTGATTGTTCGAAGTGTTATCTGATTCGACCAATTACCTAAGTCGTAACGTGTTGCCCATAAACTCTTGTTTTATGAGCAACACTCCATCCAAATCTATCAATTGTTGGTGACGTCTTCTTATCTATGAATAGTCCATCACTGAATGATGAACTCGCACAAGGACCTCACTTCTCATTAGGAGTTCGAACCAAGGACCTATAGAAGTTGTGGTTACATGTATCACTGGAGAATAATTTAATTTTATATATAACACTATTTTATTGGAGTCAATATAAATAAACAAAAAAGCCGCAAGTAGCCGTAAAATTTATCTAAAAGTCCGTCAAATTGACCATTGAACATATAAACGTCTAATTTTATATCAATTAATATATGTTCTTATTTCAGACGGCGGCTACAGGGCGGCCCCTCTCCAATAGGCGTCCCTATTTTTTGGCCAGATTTTGAACCCGGCCAAAAAGCAGGGTTGATAAATAAATAAATGACCATCTAATGGATACTTTGAGAAGGGGAGAGCAATTAATGGTTGAATAAACAAAGGCCGCGTGAGTGAGTAGTCATTTCCACTGTTCTCACATTTCAGTTACAAATCACAGACTACTCCTCCCATAAATCCTATCCTCCCTCTCTCTCTTCTACTAAAAGATCTATTTGTCCTCGTATTTGCAGTTTGTGAGGTGGGTATGGTTCCCATTCTGAATACCGTGGAAGGAGAATAAATTAGGAGAAAATCTCTGAAACTTTTGCTGATTTTGATTGTGATGGCTTCTTCATTCACCGCAAACCCTGATATGAACTTGAACCCGTTGCGCAAGAAACGAAGGAAAGTCAGGAGGGAAAACCAGTCCCAAATGAATACAACAGAGAAAATGGGTCGTGCTAGAAGAGGAACCGAAACGGAGCAAATGATCTACTCATCTAAGCTCGTAGGTGCCCTCCGCCATCTCCGTCGCCCCGAATCCTCGTCTCCCTCCGCCTCTGGTCGTGCTGTACGTGAGGCTGCTGACAGAATCCTCGCCGTTTCAGCTAAGGTAAAGACTCGCTGGAGCCGGGCTATTCTCACCGGTCGACTCAGCCTCCGACTCTCTCAGATCAATAAGAAACGCAAGAAGGCATCAAAACCGACAACCGTTGATTCCAGGTTGAAGAAACGGACCGTCAAGAAGAAACTGCCACCTGCGCATAGTAAAGTGCGGGTTTTAGGCGGGTTAGTTCCCGGTTGCCGGAAGCTTTCATTTCCTAACCTACTAGAAGAAACAGCTGATTACATTGCGGCTCTGCAAATGCAAGTCAACGCGATGACTTTTCTCACTGGCCTCCTTACCAACGGAAGCTCGTTAGCCGCTTCTTCTGATCAGCTCGGCTCGGATCAGTAGGGAATCAGTTATATTTTGTTTGTATTTTCACTATTTTAATATTAATTTTTTTAAAAGCACTATGTTAATAATTGGGAAGTAATTATATTTTGCTAAATTATGTGCACGTTGGCTTATTTCACAACGAGGGTGTTCTACAATAATTTTATATTCAGATATGAGTAGGGATGGTAAAAGGAATTCATTCTGTCTCAAATGAGAAGAAGATTACCTGCCGAATTGGTTAATTGGGGCAGAGATCATTGTTCCGAAGTTGTTGCGGGAAACATGGTTTAATCGAGTATGAAAATGAGATAAGGGGACAAAAATACTCGATGGAATGGAGGATGGGAATAGTTGACCCATTTCATACTCGTTCAGTTGTTATCCCTAAACACCGCATTCAATTATTTAATTTGTGTGAGGTAAATTTGCGTAGTCTTTATCATTTTGTATGATCAAATTCTGTTTTCGTTTGATGGTTAGAATCCATTTCGAGTAGCTATTATCCCTGAATTATCACGTTCAATGAAGTGGTCCGCTTGTTTATTGTCACTTGCATATAGGATTCAGCTGTCATTGTTGCAGATGTGATTATAAATAAATAAAGAGAGTGCATTTTTTAGGCATATTTGATGTAAGTATTTTCTGACGTGTCAAGTGAATTCAAACGCCATCTTGTTAGAGTAAATTATTATTATTTTATGAATTTTATTCAATTCATAGTGAAATCAAATACTATTTTAGTATAATGAATTTTGCTATTTAAGGTGTTTTGCATATGATCAAAGCAATTTTGTTTTAGAACTCAAGAATTTTTTTTTATTTTTTTTTTTGAGGGTAGGAATTGTTGTTTTAATTATATTTTGCAGACTAAGATTTACCTGAGATTACAATCTGCTGCTGTTATTGCAATATTTTAATTTAGACATTGTTATTACTGTAGTGAAATAGTTTTCTTATTTAGTCTTTGTTTAATTTTGATAAAAAAAAAAGACAAATTTTCAATAGATTTTGATAAAAATTGATGGAATGTATAAATAAAAAATTGTGAATCTCATGAAATATATAATTAAAATTAATTATTAATTTTGACTTTGATTTTAATTCACTTTTTAATGCTATCTAATCGCACGGGTACTTAACACCAAATTAAGTGACAATTAGATGACATTAAGCCCTTGTTTGAGCCCAATTTTTGTTAAGAGAATGCATTTTTTTGTAGTGTTATGATGTGAAATGTGTGATTAAAAAATAAGAAGAAGTTTTAAATTTGCGTGTAATATTTTTTTATTGAAGAATATGTGGTTCAAATGATGTCAAATCACTATTTAAGAATAAATTATTTTCTAAAGAATGTGGCTCAAACAAGGGCTAAATGTTAAATTCATTAAATTACAAAGTCAAATGATCTATTTAATTGGACTCATCGGGTGTGAATATCTAAATTGATGTTTTAGCAACAATGATGTTAATAATATTATCCCACTTTTATACTTGAACCCAACCAGAACTTAATAATTAATAAATTTTGTCGAATATAATGTATCAAACGAGTCGAGCAGCTCTTCAGCTCAGCTCGTCGAAATTCGGCTCTTGGGTGGCCTGCGCTCGTCAACCTGTACTTAGGGATGTCAAATGAGCTGAGCGGCTCTTGGGCTTGACCGCTCAGCTCGTCAAAATTTGGCTCGTAGGCAGCTCGGACTTGTCATTACAGGGGCTCAATCCCACGAGTTGAGCCTACTTGGCTCGTCGTCGAGCCCACGAGCCTGGGTTCGTCAAAAAATATGAAACTTTTTTTTAAAAAAAATGTCTAAAATGTGCAAACTTACCAAAGCTGAGCTCGCCCCCGAGCAACAAGCCGAGCTCGGCTCGTTTTTCACAAGCCACAAGCTCGGCTCGCCACGAGCCCTAGCCGAGCTCGTGAGTTAAAGGGCAGAGCTGACTCGACCCATTGCCATCCCTGTCTGTACTTGGGAGGAAAATGTTGGGGAATAAGGGTACCCCCTTTAGCTTTGGAAGTTGGGAAGATCCACAAAACACAACCTAATATCCAGAAGAATAATATTAGATGTAGATTTTGGTTGACAACTTTTTTTTGACAATTTTCCTATTTGAAAAAAATGGAAAAAACCAAACGATTTGCACCATTGACACTTCGGGTGACTACATCCTCACATGGTCGATGTGGGTCCCCCATGAATAAAATAATCCTAACCTCCATGTGTGTATATTATGTCAACTATGCGATCACCCGCGCAAGCTATGTAACTCGATCAGAAAAAAATTTGAATAGTGATGTGATGGTTGTGGTCAAAATCTATGGTATAGATCCAACCGCATAAAAGAGTGTGTCACTCACAATGTACATATAGTTAGGGATAGCAACGAGACAGGGCCAAGCATTTTCCCGTCCCATTACCTATTTAGGGCGGGGTGGGACTGTTACCCTCTTTATGTACCCGTTTAATTTTTTATTTCTTTTAAGTTTTTGAAGATTCATTTTAATGTCTCATTCATTCAATTGAGACAATAATATAGTTATTAAATATGTTAATAAATTTATTTGTTTTTAAAAGTTAAATTATTCAAATATATTTGATAAGCTAAGGTTTTTATTATTTATCATATTCCTTATACAATATTAGTTACCATTTTCTATTAAAATAAATGAAATTTCATGAAATTTTTCTAAAAATATTGAATTCTTAAAAAAATAAAAAAAAAATTAAACGAGGTGGGGCGAGGCAGGGTCTTGTTACCCGTACCTAACCCGATTAAGTCAGTAATCCCTGTCCCATATGGGGTCAGTCCCCACGAGTTTCGAGATTGACGAGTATTTTTGTCACCCCTACACGTAGCATGGTTATTGCCAAAAGCCATTTGACATGTGCTGCGTTTTCAGGCAGCCCCCACCCGCTTATGGCACGCGTGATGGTTGCGAAAATACAAACATTTCTCCTTTGATAATGAAATATGCTTTAGCTTTTCAATATCATCTAAAGTTTTTATGAATACACTTTTATGGTCTAGGATAATTTTGCATGAATAAATCATTTCCATCGATGTTTATATTTTATTTTATAATTGACAGCTGTCTTGAAATTAGTCGATGGCCCAAAAAAGAGATTCCGTCCCCTTCACTCCCTCCAAACGTGTACACATCGTCTCACGTTTTCGTGTATATAATCAAGACCAATCAATCCTTCCTTATCGTAGAATTTCTCACATATAATTACAGCATTGATAGAAACAGGAATTGGAAAAAGCCAAAACAAACCCTTGGTCCCCTCTTACACTTTTAAGTACCGACATGTGTGCCGACTTCATCATCCCAAAATTAAGGACGTTGCCGTATGCACGGCACCATTCGCAGCACCCTCACATGAGGAGGCTGTTCCTTGTACAGTCTGACGTAAACTTTACAACGAGAAAAATTCCAAAATTAATTATTCAAGATTGAGATTCCAAAAACGAGCAACATCACTATCGCAATTAGGATTTTTAGAGCAAAAGTAGTTTATGATAGTGTTGAATGAAGGACCACGTGTAATGTTATATTGTGTAGGCTTTATTGGACCGACACAAAAACTTATAATGTGTATACCCTAAATTTGATTAATGTTATTTAGCATCACTGATGTTACAATATCAGTTTAGGAGACACTAAATGTCACTAAATGAAAAATAGAATTAAATGAATCATATAATTTTACAATTAATTAAACATTTCATATACCATATAGACTGATACTCTAGAACCACTTGTGCTAAATATCATTGATCTTGTTTCTTAATTTAGCATGTGTACAGCTTTTATGTATAAGCCCACATGCACTCACTTGACTATTATGAATTAAGTCATAGAACACGATGTCGTCTACTATCATAATGGTTTGCATATGTTGTTTCTGGAATATTGAATTCTCTTTTTAACATTATGACGACATCTACTATTTTAGATTATCACAATAGAATTTAACAGGAATCAAGATGATCAACAGGATTAAAAAATTTGATATTCGAGCCCATCGATTTTAAAATGTGCCCTTAACATTAATTTGCTATCTTCAATGATGCTTTAAGTTGGTCAGTAATCGCCTCTCAAGATAAAGCATATTTAATATCTTATGAAGCAACACAACAACCAGTATGAGTTCCAATGAACTCTATTTATGCTTTATACTCAAAATATAAAGGTGGAAAATATAGAGAAGGGTAATTTAAAACAAGAATAATTGCAAATAAATGGTGTAATTTTTCTAACCAAAAAACAAGCTATTTATAGTGTACGTGTCCATTTTGAACCATTTGCCTCTTCAAATTTGTGGTAAGTGTTCAAACAATGTTTCAAATCAAAAGAGGTGTTAGTTATACCGTAGATAGACATTGGTTACGGTCGTTCACAAATGTTGATTGTAGGTAATGGACCTTAGTCATAGATGTCAATTACATCCCAAAAATTTTCGCAAAAAATCCAATTGTTCAAATTTTTAGACCGTTAAATATAATTTCATTCAATACCTAAAGAATTTGATTAATTATAATTTGGCAAAAAAAAAAAATTTCTATAAAAAAGGATATATAATTCACATCTGCACCTACACACGGATCCGGACTTGGGTACATGCAAGTGCTTGCCATGTCAAGCCAAGCCGAGCCGAGACGAGTCGACCAAATGGCAATGGCACGCATATAGTTGGATCTCAATGGTATCTAGCCATCTCCTTTCACCAAAATTAGGACCATTTAGTGCTCATACCTAAAGACCAAATATTTTAGCACTAATTTTCCTATACTATACAAATGTTAAACAATCCCATTAAATTTTTCACCTTTTCAAGTTTCAAGTGGATAATTATGAAATCAAATCTATCATTCAATTCATAATGATTTTTGACAAATAAATATATCACATTATTCATCTAGCGTTGTAGAACATGAATATGTTTGGTTCCGTTAAATCCAATGTATAAGTTCCAATTAATTTTGAGCTCAAAGTAGTCCAAAATCAAAATCATTTCTAATAATTCCCCACATAAATGGAATATATTGACTTTTTCATAAATAATGCAACAATTGATACAAAAATAGATTACAAATGAAGAGAGACTATATCAGGATATATAGGTAGAGACTTTGAACTTTTTCTAATAAATAAATTATTGGATTTACTTGTCCAATTAGTAAGAAGATGCTTTGAACAGTCGAGGTTTGTTTAATCTTAGACAATAGAAGTTACACAGTCCTTTTGAACAACACTTGGTTCTCACGTTGGTATCCATTTTGACATTAGACGGCACCTAGTTCATGAGTTTTCATTAGAGAAATCATCATCACATAATTCTCATAGAAGTGGCTCTTTCTCATCCACATAAATTAACTCTATAAAGAATATTCAGCTATAACTTTACTTGAACACATCAAGATATAGAAGTCATTAAAAGCGTAATTTAACTTGATTCTCGCAATAATTAGGCACGATCACCATAAAAATTGGTAGGCATAATAAATCTCCACATTACATGCTAAGTTTTTCATAGTTTAGTTGTCCC